AACCTATTTCCTTTTCTTGCTGTAGCACCTGTTTGAAGTTTCCTTATTTGTCTGCAAGCTGCTCACAGCTAGTACCAGTGAATGTGGTAAACTGACAATAAGTTCATAATTGTCAAAAATATAAATGTAACAACTCCTGCTTAATCTAAACCCCTTTCTCTAGATCAAAGATTGACCTCTGTTTCTAAAGAAAAGACTCTTGACCTAAAATAATGCATTGCATTTAAAACAATGCAATTACTATGGTAATAAAAGATAATTCTCAACACTAAGTGCTTCTGCAATGCATTGATACATATAGGATTTGCACTACACATCACATACCTGTAACCAAACATAATATGATTCAAGAAACATGCAAATTTTACTGAATTAGACAAAAGATAAACACCAATGTATTTTCTTTAATAGAACTGAAATACCGTAAGGGCCAATTTCTGAACGTTCATCTCTGGCCTGAAGACAATAGGACATAATAGCATGGAGGATTCACAATTGTGCTGTCTTCAAATTTCACTACTTATCTTCTGGGTTCCACTTATTGAGGTTTCACAATTGAAATTCATATTCAGAAAATCAGTCTTACAGATGGTAACGTAGCAGGTAAATGCAGGGTATGCTTTGATACTGTGCCACACAGGTTCAATCCCACATCTTTGCTAGTTTGAGAAATAGTAGGAACTGCAGATGCTGGAGAATCTGAGATAACAAGGTGTAGAGCTGGATGAACACAGCAGGCCAAGCAGCATCAGAGGAGCAGGAAAGCTGACGTTTCTGGCCTAGACCCTTCTTCAGATTTCTGAAGAAGGGTCTAGGCCTGAAACGTCAACTTTCCTGCTGAGCCTGCTGTGTTCATCCAGCTCTACACCTTGCTATCTCTTTGCTAGTTTGGCTGTTTTTAGCTAACATCATTGCCCCCACACCAGGAGTACTAAAGGGCAATCTGAAAATGACTTTTCCACTGGCAATGGACAAACCTCAATCACATCAATCTGGCTCTCTCAGCTTTGAAATCACCTGGAGTTGACCAACATCCACAGAATCAAACCTTAACATCAGCCAGTGCCCTCGGGACAACAGCGTAGATAAAGATATCAGTCAAATGATAATTCTTCAGCAACGAGAACAGGAAGAAGTGAAACATTTCAAACCTACTCAATGTGTTTTGGAAAGACCTTACATGCTATCACTAACTTGGGTCATTTTCATTCACTCTCACTGAACGCCAGCATGCTGCAGAGGCACAGACCTCCCAAAGGCAGCCAAATTCCTACTGCAACATGTGCTTTTAGAATCATAAAGTTTTTAACAGCACAGAAAAAGACCATTCAGCCCATCATGCCTGTGCCAGTCATCAAACATCAATCTATTCTCATCCCATTTTCCAATTCTTGGCCTCTCGCTTTGCATGCTTTGGCATTTCAATAGCTTATCTAAATAGTTCTTAAATGTTCACTGCCTTTCCACAGCCCTCTGGGTGAAAATGTTTTTCATCAAATCCCCTCTAAACCTTATCTTAAAAGTCTGCTCCCTGGTTAGTGACCCCTCTACAAAGAGGAAAAGTTTTTCCTTCTCTACACTATGTCATTCATAATCTTGTACCTCTCAATCAGACTCCCCACTAGCCTTTTTCGGCTGTGAGGTAAACAACTCCAGCCTATCATGCATGTTATAGTCTGGATAGATGTGGATATGTTAGAGGCTCCACGTTACTGTCCATCACATGCCTGATCAGGAATCTTCCACTCTTACTGCCTGCCATTGATGCGTGTTGGAAGGTTTATTAATCTGTTTGACCCATGTTATGAACACACCTTCCTGAGTTTTCCGTTCCTGCGGTAAGATTTGAGCACAGAATTTCTGAATCAGAGACACTACCCATTGCACTGTTGGACCCACATGCAAGTAGATAAGCACTGATATTCACTCTTCTTTTTGCTGACATGTATCCCATTATACAACTGCTGCACTGATATTCAGCTTTCATGGATCTCCCACAAGCCAAAGCCAACCTGCACCCAAGGATCTAAGTATTCAAAAACCTTCATCTCAATAGGGGTTTAATACAGAGGAGATGAAGTTATGGCTTAGTTGCAGAAAGCCTTGGCAAGACACCATACAGCACTTCAGGAAGGATACACTGGGCCAAGATGGGGTATCGTCTAAATTTACCAAAATAGTACCAGTGATTAAGGTAATATTGTATTAGAATAGACTGGATTAACATTGTATTAGAATGTTGAGGAGTGACCTGAATGAGGTGGTCAATGGTGTGGCTACAGAGAAACAACTTCCTTCGAAGGGGTAACCTAGAACAAGAAGCAAATTTCCAACATTTGTCAAGTCACTGGAGTGATTCAGGAAGCATGTTTTTACAACAAATCATCATGGAAATGTGCAATTCTCTCCCCAAAAAGATTTATTAAGGTGTTAACAAAGATTTACAAAGTTTACACTGACACGGTTAGCAAATGTTATCTATCAAATAATAGGGACCGAGGGCAGGTGAATGAGGTTGAGGTACAGATTAACCATGATCTAAATTGTGAGGGCTTTTGTGGTACATTGATAGCAGCACTAACTCTGGACCAGGAGGTCTGAGTTCAAGTCCCACTTACTCCAGTGGTGTGTCACAAGATGTCTGAATAAGTCAATTAAAAAAAAACATGATCTAATTAAATTGCAGAACAGGCTCGAGGGGATGAATGGCCTATTTTTGTTTCCATGTTCCCCAGTGACCCAGTCAATCTCTACATTCAATGCATGGCATATGATTGGTTCAACCTGATTCAGCAGATCTCTGATTTGTGGTCCACACTGATTGTATTGATATCAACTAGGTTAGCAATGAAGATGTAAAAATTAGACTCAACTAGGAGAGAGGAAAATTAAATCTAGAACCAACATTGCTGTTCTTTCACTAATGATTGTTTGTTATTTAAATGTACTGATATGAGCACTGTGGGAGGATACGATGAGACTTAACAAAGACATCTCACAACTAAAGAGATTATTGACCCAGATTGAAGGATTTCTGCCATGTATGAATCTTGTGTCCCAGAAAGGCTTAGTCACTTTCTTCCAGACTGAAAGGTCAAACAGTGAAAAATCAAAAAAAAAGGAGAAAATCTGTAATTACTGCCATTCAAACGCAAATTCCATATGACCTGGAATGCCTGCCAGACAGGCCATATTTGTCTTTCCTTTTTCCAGTTAGTAGAATACAAGCCAAATATAAAGAAACAAACAGCAGGTCAATCATGTCCCTAACTGGACTGCTGTCAACCAACTACCCCGCTGAACTGACCAGCTACTTATTGTCATTGCTTACCAGAGAGTTTGCAAATAAACAAACAGGAGCCATTCTGAAGATCACATCATCATTTTCAGCAAAGCCAAACTAAAATTTTATTATAAGGAGAAGCAATTCCTTCACTTGTCACGATCACTGGTTCATGCTGTTTGTCATCATTTTGGAAAACCATTTGTTGTCACATTTGCTTTTTGAACTGGGTGAGTTTTCTTTTTAAATTCATCATGGAATGTCTGGATGGCAGGTGGTTTGGAGGGGAACTTGCAGGTGAACAGGGGAGTTACCCCTCAATTATTTATTCCTCAATCAAAATCATAAAAAAAAGATTGATTATCTGATTAACATTTTGCTGTTGGCAGGTGCTTGTCAATTGGTTGTTACGTTTCATACAACACAAGGCCCACAATGACTCTCCTTCTCAACTTCTCCCCTCACCGGAGGCATGGTGACCCTCAGGTTAAACCAACACTCATCCCTCTCAGCAGCCCTATGGGTCACCTGGCACAACGGTACCTTTATTTTTACATACATCAATAGTCCTTACTTAGCTGTAATACACTGAAGATGTCTGGAGGTTATGAAAACATAAATGCAACTATAATGCAAATTTTTTTCCTGGTTGTTCACCCTTCCAACTCTTTTAACCCTAAAGGGATAATTCTGCAGCGAATTTTTGCTAAGGGTATGGTTCAGCACGGAGGGCCCTTGTGATGCAGGGGTGGTGTCCCTACCTCTGAACCAGGAGGCCTGAGTTCAAGACCCACCTGCTCCAGAGGCATATAATAACGTCTCTGAACAGATTGATCAGGAAAATATCTACAGTACAAGATCTAAGACACTAAATAAGCTTGCAAAACAAGCTTAGCTGCATGGTATTAACAATTTACATACTTTTTTTAAAAAAAAATTTACGCTGGTCAACAACTTGTGGACCAGAAAGAATTAATAAAGAGTCAAATTATTCACAATAATATAATTGGGGAACTGGTTAATTGGGTTCACGCACGATACAGTCCCAGCAATTAATCTTAACCAAGTGTGGGTTTGTGTTACCTTTCTCATTTAATGTGGCCGAGAAGGAAGTATTTATTTTCATCCTTCAGTACGCTTGATCAACCTGATCAAACGCGTGAATGGCAAGCCAGCAACATTGAATATAGGACAGGGATTCGAGCTCTGAGCAAGTTCACTATGTCCACATTAACTACCCCTCATCAATAACAAAAAAAAGTATCAGTTTTAAACAAGCCCCAAGCCTGCCCACCAATTCCTTACTCGTATCAATTCAACGGCTGTTTTCATTTACAAAACGCTGAAAACTCACGACCCACTGTGTCAAATAGTTGAGGAGTTGATGTTAAAAGAGATGTCAAGCAAAAAAAAAAGACTTTTTTAAAGATATTTTGATCTTCGAATAATAATAATGTGCAAGGATTTACAAACATTGGAAATTGGAGGCGAACGGAACCAGAAAATATCCCCTTTTTAAAAAACCTTCCATGACACCTCTATACAAGAAAAACAAAACACCAGGAAACGCTCCAGCAACTGACTCCACTAAGGAACATTTATTCCAGTTCACACTTCAGACAATCACAAACAACACAAGTGCATTTACATTTTTCCCTCTGGCTTGACGTGACTATATGAATCCAGTAAATGTGTACAAAACAAACGTATCCCTCACCTTGTTTCAAGCGCTCTCCATTTGTTCCTGTGGTAATGCTTGCGTCAAACGTAGAGACGAAGGGGATTTTTTTTTCTCTCTCTCTCTCTCTCCACGGCCTCAAACCCTTTCTTGTTTTTGTATCCTGGGTGAGCCATTTTTTCCGCTCGGCTGCCTCTGCTCTGGGCTGCACTAACGTGCACCTCCGCCCTTGCCTCGCTTCTTGCCTTTCTTCACCGCCTCTGCCTGCTTGGTCAAGGAGGTACAGTTAACAACATCATCCTTTACTGGCAGCTTGTCCCTCCCTCACAGCCAAAATGCCCCTGCACAAACTGTCAGGCCAACTCCTCTCTGGGCTGGAGAGGGTCAGCCTACAGGCTGTCACAAAGCCCCACTGGACACATTTAGGTGTTGCAAGAAAAACCAAGTGCTTTTCTATTGTGGGATCTGCCTCTGCATTAGTCTTGCTGGCATTCACATTTGAAGTCCCTGTCAGCATCCATTATTCCTGATACACCTCATAGTGGTGTCAAAATCATTTAAATTTAACTCTCATTGAGGTGATTTAAAATTATGTTTGCAGGTATTTTAATTCACCCTAAGTCCAGTAACTCCATCACCTCACTGGTCATTGACCTACATTTGACTCCCAGTCACGCAACATCTTTGATGTGGAGGTGCAAGTGTTGGACTGGGTGGACAGTCAGAAGTCACAAGTCACCAGGTTACAGTCCGACAGGTTTATTTGAAATCACAAGCTTTCGAAGCATGGTCCCTTCGTCAGGTGGAGAGAGCAAAGGAATTGTATGGCTATTCCCTGCTGGTCCTGCACTTTCTGGTAATTGTAAAGTTTTTTTCCATGGATTTCATAATCTCCTGTGGCCATCAATACAATTGTCACTTCACCTGACGAAGGGGCTACACCCCAAAAGCTTGTGATTTCAAATAAACCTGTTGGGTTATAACCTGGTATCATGTGACTTTAAGCAATATGTTGATTAACCTTGTTTTCAAAACACTTCACCTTTCCCGATCACCTCCAGCTCAGAACTCTCTGGGATACATGCTGTCCAGTAATCCTGGCCTTTTGAGCATCTCTCATAGTTGTCCCACCATTGGTGGCCCTACCTTTAGCTGCCTTGGTCTCAAGCTCTGGAATTCCTGCCCAAATGCTTCCACTTAATTTGCTCCTTTAAAACAATCTTTAAACCTACCTCTTTCACCAAGCTTTCAGTCAGCTGAGCTAATATCTTTATGTGGCTCAGTAACTTTTTTCTCCTTTATAGGTCTCATGAGTATTTGTGATCCTTTATTACATCAATGCTTCTCTGTATAAGTATAATCCATCTACATTGTTGTTGACAAACTTGCTATATTCTTCATCAAAGACACCCTTTTCTGCACATCTTCTAAAGTAATGCCATTATCTAAAACGTAAAAATACATAAACTCAAAAATTATAGATAATAAGTAAAATTTGAGTAATTAAAGACAGGGTGTGATTGCATTATAGAGGGCAGGTGAACTTAACAGTTGCAATGAAGGCCACCAGATATTATGAAATCCATGGAAAAACTTTACAGTTACCTGAAAGTGCCAGAAGTGACAGGGAATAACCGTACAATTCCTTTGCTATCTACACAGGATCATGTCTTGCCAGCTACTGTAAAATCAAATATACAGTGTAATAGATATGATTAGAATTGCTGGACTACTTTCATGTAATCATACATAATTAAAGAAAAGGCAGCACTCTTGTTTTGTTAATTCATCTTGCATGATTTATCAGAGCAACTGTTCAGAGTCTGGAAAAGTACAAAGAAGGAGGTAAATTTTACTTTGAAAATCCTGGCAAAATGCAAATGTGCAGTTAGACAATTCAGAAGTTCCCATTCGAGATGTGCTGTCTGCTTTAAGATGTGTGGGAATAGCATCTCAACGACTACTTCTCCATTCAAATGCATCAAACAATGTGAAGTTCATGCACTGGCATCATAGACATTGTTTAAACTCACCACAGAATGTTATTCAGTCTAAATACCCTTTCAATGACTTGGTAATCCTTAATTATTGCCAAAACTCTTTGATACTGAAAATTAATTTTGAGTAAGTGTGGAGTCCATTTCTTCTGATTACTTCATTAATGGATAATTTTTACAAAAGTGAAAACGTTTGTTTTAACTTTTGCCTTCTTTTTTGTCGCTGTCAATCTGATCATTTTCTCTCTCTATGTTACGCGCTGTACATGATTTGAATTCATCATTCTACCTGAGACTTCCTGGATCAGTATTGCTGATTAATCATTCTTCAATCTATTTGATTAAGGAGCAATCCAATGCCTTATTTGTTCTCAAATAGGAAAGTAGTTTGAATGTTTGGCTGACAGTAACTTGCTTTGCAACAATTTATGGAATGTTTTCCAGATGAGTGCAAATCATTGCCGTTCATGGCAAAATCTAGTCCACTTGATGTATGATGTTAATGTGTTGAGGAGAAAAGCCACCAAGTTGCTATAGTTCAGTCCCTAAGAAATCTAACTTCAGGTTGGAATTTCAACCACTCTTCACCCTTTTCAGGATTACCATGTGCAAAGCATTGTGGTCCTTTATCAACCAAAAAATGGGAAGAAATTTAAAAGGCATTTGGATGGGTATCTGGATGAGAAGGGTTTAGAGGGTTATGGGCCAAATGCTGGCAAATGGGACTAGATTAATTTGGAATATCTCATCAGCATGGACGAGTTGGACTGAAGGGTCTGTTTCCGTGCTTTACATCTCTATGACTCTAAATTGCAATAATATTATTGATGTCATTATGCAGATTTAAAAAAAAGCAAGAATATTTGATATTGATAAGAAGATTACAAGAACAGCCAAAATTGTCAACTTAAATTCCCCGTAGTCCTACCAGGCCAGAGAGCTGCTCTCTCATGAGAGAGAGTCAGCTGGTGGTAGTTTAATCTGAGGGTTACCATGCCTCAAGTGAGGGGAGAGGTTGGGAAGGACAGTCCTTCATAGTAACCTCAGCCAGTGCAGGAATTGTTGGCATCACTCTGCATTACAAACTAGTCATCCAGCCAACTGGGCTAATCAACCTCCCCATCGTTGACTTATCATATCTGTGTTAACCAAAGATAGATGGCCACCGGATCAAGGGTATTGGCCACAAGACAGAGAGCAGATAGCAACAAAATAGTGACAAGGGCAAAGAAGCCAGAAAATAAGGGACATCTATTATAGTCTAGCAAGCACAAGGGAGGAAAGCCAGAGACAACAGCTATTGAATAATAGAGAAGGTAGAGACTATGATTATAACTACTAAATCACTCATACAAAAGGTGTAGATGACAGTGTGTTAGATTACAAAATGTGAAATTGTGAAACTTAATATGGTTACAATCATAGAGTGTCATAGCATGGTTACAGAACATAAGCAGATAGAGGTCCATAGTTTTGTAGATATTGAGGAAACCATGCAATTTGTGGATAGTGCAGGAAAATGTGGATGAGATGGGAGATCAGACACAATTTAGTTGAATGGTGGAGAAAGCTGAAGGGGCTGATGGCCTGTTTTTGCTCTGATTTCCTATGTTCCTACGTCATTGTATTCCAGCCAGCTATTTGCAAGAGGAGCTCACCGGTCTCAGTCTCCCACCTTTTCCAGAAATGGGGAGATGGTGGCGTAGTGGTAAAGTTATTGAACTAATATTCCAGAATCTCACGCTAGTATTCTGGGGACATGGGTTTGAATCCCAACATAGTAGATGGTGAAATCTGAATTCAATAAAAGTATGAAATTGAGAGCTGGCAACTTAATACTAACTAAAAGAATTGGGATGGTAATTGGTAGTCAGTAAGTGAGGTGATCAGAAAAGCCTGTGAAAATCTCAGGAGGATATGGAAAGCTGTTCAATCGGGGATTGGGACAAAGGAGGACTTTCTGGCCTGAACTGGGGCTGAGGAAGGAATTTTTGGGACAATTGGGATTGTTGCAATCTGATACAAAGGGGACCAAAAAGTTCTTTGTAAAGCCCTGTAGGAGAAATCAAAAAAATGTAAAACTTAACTTCTGTACATTTGCTGGCTCATGTTCCAGCCTCTGAGAGCTTTATTTAATGGAGATTTGGGCAGCACAGCGGCTCAGTGGTTAGCACTGCTGCCTCTCAGCATCAGGGACCCTGTTTCATTCTAGACTGCTTAATTGTCTGTATGGAGTTTGCACATTCTCACTGTGTCAGTATGGATTTCCTCTGGGTGCTCCAGTTTCCTCCCACAGTGCAAGTTAAGTAAATTTGGCCATGCTAAATTATCTGTGGTGTGTGGACTAGGTGAATCAGTAAATACGGGATAGGGTAGGTCTCTGAGCGGGTTTCTATTTAGAGTTTCGATGGAGACCCGATGGGCTGAATGGCCTCTTTCTGCACTGTAGGGAGTCTATGATTCAATACTTGCTTCTGTCCCATCCCACAATACACCATATATTTAACCACCCACACTCAGGCCTCATGGTGAAATTGCAAATTGGGTCCCTATCTACTAATCCCACCTTTTTCCTGCTGGCTTCCTGCAAGTAAGTGACTTGCCATATTGCAGTAGGCCAGTTGTTTGGTTTCCCTGTAGTGGAAAGAGTTGAAAGGGGGCCTACATTTCAGCAAACTTCAACCATGAGGAATCATTGCTGAGCCTATCTTTGTTGTTTCACAATATCTATGCAAATGCTTTTCTGAGTAATAGACACATTGTTAAAGGACACATTTATGATAAGACATTCTATCTATTTCTCAAAATTAATCAAACATTGTGTAAAATGCTGAGGCCAAGTCTGCATAGATTTCTCAAGGATAAAATATGTGCAATTATACTTAACCGTACACTTAACTTAAAACCAACAACCACATCAGATTTTTGTCATATGTAACACCAGAGTCTGGAACTAAGAATTTAAGGTTAACAGGATCCTTCGAGTCTAAATGTTAATTACTAATTGTCATTCATAATTCCTCTTTCAAATTAAATTAATTTTTCATTTCTCTTACCTCTGGTTTCTAACTCTTACTGTTACTTGGTCGCATCAAAAAAAGTTGCAACTTATTAAAACTCAAATAAACTGCTTTCCTTACTAACAAGCTTTTTGTCCATTGAGCTAAATAATTAAGGGTAACTCCATTTTTGTTGTGTATTGTTTTCCACTGCATTTAATTAACGCTTTACAAAGTGAAATTATCAGTACTAAAGATGTCTTTGATACTGCATCATTCAGCTCTGGACTGATTCTGAATCCCATTAAAATCATTTGATTTTGTACTTCCACTATCACCTTGATTGAGATCAACAAACTGCAAGTACCATTAAATCTGAAAG